GTCGTTTGAATGAACGGCTTACCCCACCCCCCCCCCCACTTCGTCGGTGCAGGTGTGCGAGAGAATCGTATACGTGGCGAAGCTGCGGTTATCGCGAGCCGTGTATATATACATATATGTCAGGTATTTTTAATCTCGCTAATTGATTCGCTCCCCCTTTTTTCCCCGGTGGCTAGGAGGGAAGGTATAACATACCTTTCGCCTTTGCGAGAAATTACACGAAAAAAGTTATACATCGGTGCCCTTTGGCGGAAGAAAGTATAGGTGTATAAATAGGTACTCTCTCGATTATGGTTGGGTGTTTGTATGATAGGGTGGCTCCCTTCTCTCACGCCCTTGGTACTAGTGAATTCCTGTTGTCAATCGATCCATCCCTTGAAAATAGAATAGCTAAGAACTGTAGATCATTGCTTTTTCTAGTAAATCTAATTTTGGTACCTTGAAATATTCAAAGGCGGTAGTTTGTAGGGAAAAGGGCAGTATAGGCGCACTCGAAGCTTCGCTAATTTCAGCGGTGACCAAAGTTCAAAACTAGTTTTATTCTCAAGTGGGCTGGATTAGAGAACACTTACGTTTTCCAAAAATAAAAAAAATAAAAAATAATCACATTCCAGAGTCAGACTAGATCTATAGCTGATCGATATGATGTAATATTCTCAAGTGGAAAGATAATTTTGCCGATTTCATCGCAAAAAGCTGGTTCTATTGGTCGTATATTGTGCCTCGTCGCAGCTTTTTCAGGCCAAATCGTATAATTAACGTCGAGCGAGTATAATGCGCCCAATCCATTAGATTGATTGGATTTCCCCCCTTCCTCAGTCTCCGTTTTTCCAAGCGCGTCACACACTCGAAAAATTAATCTCAATCTCCGTGTCTTCGGATCCAAAATGAAATCTGAAAAAAACTCCTTGCATCACCTTTTCATCAGATCCAGGAAATCTCTAACGCGAAAGATCAAAAGAGCAAAGGATGATTGAAACTTTTTTCGCGTTTCTGAAAAAAAAAAAAAAAAAAAAAAGATTTCTCGTACGCAGCGACAAAATAGAAGGAGCGTTATTAAGTGTCACGCGTGTGCGCGCACGACTATCGCTCCCATCAAAAGGCAGGTGACTTTTTTTCTTCTTCACCCCCTCATCCGTGCATCAGCGGAGACGTGAGTTTTCCCGCACACAAAGGCGACGTTGGAGAAGTTTACCGAGGGGATGAGAGTCTGTATAGCCGTCTCATTTATGATTTAACGAGGCGTGTCGGGGCATACTTGCGCGTTCGAGCAAAAAGATGGATTTTCGGCGGAGAATTTCGTCTACTACTTTGACGGTGGGTGACTTACCCCATCGCTCTGTGTACGCTTTCTGACTACGTAACGTCAGTTTCGTACATTACCACGTTAATGGAAAATTGGCATCTGATAAAAAAAAAAAAAGGCATTTTCAATTCCAATTTAGGGGTCTCGGTGATCTCCTCGAAATGCAGAGAAGGTATAGCGAAGCTTGTCAACGATAACTATTAATGACAAAAATTCAAAGAGTTTAAATAGTTATTATCTATATAGTTTTGTTGTTTTCCCAGCATTTTTGAGAAAATCATTAAATCTAAAGAATATCGAGAAATTCAAAGTTTTTTTTTT